TCTCTCTCTCTCTCACTCACACTCACAAACACACCCAAACACACACTCACAAACACACACAAACACACACTCACAAACACTCACGCACACACACATATGCAGAAATCGTTTAAATCCGGGCAAGGTCTCAAATTTGTCACGCTGTTTCTATTAAGTTTAATTTTGTCTACTTGCACCTCGTCTTGTTGTAGGACATACTTTGAGGTCGACCCTGGTAATTTGTGTGTGCTTATTATAATACTTTTGAAAAGGAGATATTGTAGGTCCAAAGCTAAATAACACACGATACTTACTTTAATTTTAATTACATCCGTTAAATAGATCCACTAGACTACTTATTACGTTTCTCTTATTGCTTTTTTGTTTTCGTTTACTAATTTAAAAAAAACTTATTTTGCGTGTCGTGGTATGTTTATTCTCACTAAATATCTAGTCCATTATCATAGAAACGTGTTTTTCTTTTCTTATTGTTCTGGAGCTCCCTTGTAACGCAGGACCAACCTCTTTAAAATTGACTCTTTGCGCCAGGCCTAGTATGTAGTTTATTCCTTCTCAGTTCTTAGAACACATTTATTTTAAAATTTGTGATTTAGCGTGGTTGAACTTTTTGTTGTTGTTAATGAGTAGGCATGTATGACTCCACACAATAAGAGACAAACAAAAGTACAACAATGTTAATTAGCTTGTGTATTTTGTAGTCCAGCTGCGTGCATGTGTTGGAAGAGATAATAGCCTCTTACTTGTAGGTTAACAAAGCATGACGTACATTAGGCCTGACATCTGAATAAATAGTATCGTTTTCAAAACAGAATTTTAGCCTGTGCATGTCACGCTAGAGCGGATAAGGCGAATTTTCAGGCGACATTAAAAACTAGGTTTCAAGCTCAGTAGAAAGGGGGGAGGTCTAGGATAGGACGGAAAAGATGTGTGTGCATCAAAATCTCCTTCATCATCACGGTGAAATCAATAGTATCGTGAAGCCACCAGAAGCGTGTTTGTAGTATCGATATCTCGAATTCCACAAATAGCCAAGGCTAGAATACGAAAGTAAACCGGAACCAGGTACTGCTGTACTCTAGCCTAGTTCTCTCTCTTTACGCTGCCCGTGTGGTTTGTCCGTTTTCTTGCTCGAGTGCCGGCCGGGGATTGTACTCCTATTTGCGTACAGTGGCAGGCAGATCTGTTGCATTTTAATTTGTCATCAATACTAGATCTAGAGATCTGTTCAACTATTTTACAAAATGTCTGAGGCAAAGAAACGTGCAGTGTCTGCTCTCGATCAGCTCAAAGAAATTACAACAGTTGTTGCGGACACTGGAGACTTTGAAGGTCTGTTGTTCTTCTTTAAAGTCTTCTATAGTCTGCAGTGTGGTTGACACGGGCTGATAACCGGTCTGTCCGGTCGTTATTATGCAATTATGCCACTTTCGTTTAGTATTATAACGTTTTGCCCTTGTGTACTAGCATTGATTTGTGACGTGTTAATCCATAAAAGCATAACTTTTACTCGTTTGTAATACATCATGTTAGTTCAAGGTCCGTTAGTTTACTGAAGTCACTGCCCCATAAAGTGTGAGGTGCGAGATCAGGCTGTTGCTTAATTAATTAATGCTTTTATTCCCCAGTAATAGACTAATTACATTACTACTACTGAGCATTTGCCAAAAGGTGGGATACCTGGGTGTGACAAATGAGGTCCAAAATCAACTTTATGTTATAATTCTTTAATCACCCATATTATATACTATAGCCTAATGCCTAATGATTGCTCTTTCAGGCCCAGTAACTGCCAAAGCTGTATATGCAATGGTCTTGGTGTAATTCTGACTTGAATGACGGAAATAGCAAAAAGTTCGTTCATAACAATGATGACACAAATTTATAATTTATACTCAAAGTTCATTTCTTCAGCTAGGCTGATGTTATATTTTGAGACAGCAAATAACTTCCAAAAATACATAGAATTGACAGTTTATAAAAATCTTTATTAATTTTTGATAAAATTACTTTTTTGTGTCATAATAGTTATGAACGAACAATAAGTGACCAAAATACTATCAATTATGTCAAGTTTCATTGACTAGAGTTGTCTGAAATAACACTCTGGTCTAATTATAGTCAAGTGATAAAGGAACGACCATTGAACAGCTATTTTTAAATGCAAACTGGTCATACGGCATGTTATGCATAAATTTAAAGTTCGTTCATAACCATTATGACACACTGTTTCGTTCATAACTATTATGACAAATTTTACTTTTGGCCCCTAAAATTTACTTATATTGTTCTGTCTTTCACATAAAATGGTTTTCATTTATGAGACTTTCCTTAAAATATGATAGATTCCTCTATGTAGGGAGAATTCAAAGTTTATTTACTGAAAAACCCTTAGAGTACCTTTAAAATAGTTCGTTCATAACAATTATGACAAACTTAAATTTTTACCTATAAATTTATACATTTTGATCTGTCATTCATTTTTTAAAACCTTTATTAAATGAAACTCTCCTCATAATATGTATCTCTGTACATGTTTTTAAAGTTTATTAACACTGAAAAGCCCTCAAAATATATAAAATGGACTATAAATAGTTTGTTTATAACCATTACTACAAAAGTATAAAACTAATTAAAATCCACACCCATACACTTATAATGATAAAAATCAAAATATCAGAATGTATGCAAGGTCCATTCTGTCCTTTACTTGGGTTAAAATTAAAAATACATCCCAAAACAACTGTAAATTACATGGAATAAGGTTTCGTTCATAACCATTATGACACACTGTTTCGTTCATAACTATTATGACAAATTTTACTTTGGGCCCAAAAAATTAACTTATTGTTCCGTCATTCACATAAAATTGTTTTAATTTATGAGACTCTCCTCAAAATAAGGTTATATGTTGGAAGAATTCAAAGTTTAATCACTGAAAAACCCTTAGAATACCTTTAATGGTTCGTTCATAACTATTATGACAAACTTCAGTTTTGACCTAAAAATTAATATTTTGACCTGTCATTTACTTTAAAATTTTATATTAAATGAAAGTTTCCTCATAATATGTATCTGTGTACATGTTTTTAATGTTTATCAACTCTGGAAAGCCCTCAGAGTACAATATGAAGTTCGTTCATAACCATTACTACAAAAGTATAATACTAATTAAAATCCACACCCATACACTTTAAGATAAAAATCAAAATATCAAAATGTATGCAAGGTCTATTCTGTCCTTTAGTTGGGTTAAAATTAAAAATATATTCCAAAACAACTGTAAATTACAAGGAATAAGGTTTCGTTCATAACCATTATGACACACTGTCACGTTCATAACATGATGACAATCCATTATGACAAGCATATTTTTGCCTTTTCTTCGCTTCTCTTTTGAGTCATCAGCATGCTACTCTTCCATGTTCATTCCACCATGTAAAAGGATGTTGTGAAACAGTGGGAAGTCCCTCCAATGATATTTTGCAGAAATATCATAAAGTGTTTGTTCATAACATCATTATGACAAACCTGGATTATCTCAATCAAAGTCAAATTTAAGCAAAATCATGCGATGGAGCGGAAAATTACCCTTCTGATGGATCAATGTCAAACCAATGTTTAATACCGGTCATTCCCCGGTTTAGATATGTTTAACGATTTGGGTTTTCTAGACCTTGGAAAGTCTGATGATGTAATTATGACACGAGTTATGAACGAACTTATAAATTTTACTCAGCAATAACATCATCAATATAAAAAAATAAAACCCTTTTAATGGACACGCGCTGTTATGATGGTGTATACAAACTATTTTCAATGTTTGAATGCACTACTGTTTGATAGTTTAAGATTAACAATATATTCTGTATTTAACATACAATTACACGTGTGCACTCAGGATGAGTAAAAAATGCCCTATTTTTAGTACTATTATCTTTCTACGAAGAGATATAAGATGCACACATCAATCTTCTTGCTCATGCAGCTTGACCAACTTATTTCCTTGCCATATGCATAAAGTTTTCAGAAGAAAACATATTTTTCCATGAGTAGTGGTTGATTTAAGAAGTCCTCATGCAAACACCCCCTCCTTTTGGCAAAAGCTCTACTACTGTTGCTAATCAATCAGCAATCATTCTTCTGTTTTTTACTCCGAAATTTAAGAGAGTAAGAGTGAGTTCAGTTAGAGAGGTTGCATAGGTTTTGGTGGGTGAGTGGGATGGAAGATCCTGTAACTTGGTTCGAGTTCTTGTATTCAATGAGGAGAAGACTGAATGAATAAAATGAAGTGATTTCTTTCCTCAAACAGATTATTCTTAATTTTGTGTTCCAGACTTTGTCAGTGGGTAGTTGGCGGGTGCTCTGGTGTGGTTTGCTCCTTCTTTCTTATAAAACATGTATCGTCCATCCCCTCCTTCTTTTTTATGTTTGTCACTCTCTTCTTGTAAGACCTCTAATCTTCTGGCGCTCATATGACCTTGCAGAGTTGCGAGCGCCGTAAAACCTCTACTAAAACAAAACGGACTTTGTCAACACATTTATTCTGAGTTTGTATTGTATATCGTATCATGTTTGAATTATATTCTTCCTATTAAATTTCCTTTTTAATGTATAAAAGATCAAAACCCGTGTATTGTAGTGTGGATTGGTGGTTGGCAGGTGTTCTGGTGTGGTTTGCTCCTTCTTTCCTATACTCCTCCTTTTATGTGTTAATCTTTTTGTGTTTTGTGTACGGCCGTCGTTATTCGGACTCGGGTCCGAAAAAAGGAAGTGTCTTCGTTCTATATAGATCTAACGTTCAGTGCTTCCAATTTTCCGCCATTTTTTAAGTTTCCCCCACACCTTATCTGCCGATCCAATGCCCGCCGCCTCATTGATACGCCCCCCCCCCCCACGTTTCCCACTTTCTTTGTTGTAGAAAAAGGTAAAATTGAAGATTAGCAGACCACCTGGCGCCTGCATATTATGAGCTGTGTAAAAAAAATAAAAGACCGATTCGTTCAAATACACAAGTTTGTGTCATATCGATTGTTTACCAAGAAAAAGTTGTGTTGCTGTGTAGAGCTGAGCATACGGCAACTTTTGATTCCATAGACCAGCACACAATTCATTACGTATTCATTACGTAGATCTACGTCAAGACTAGCTTATTATTGTAATAATGATCAGTTGCCGGGGGGAAAAAGACTGACGCGTATGCGACGTTCAAAGCCCGGACCGATAGTGCCCCCCCCACCACCCTCCCCGACACGCACACAGCCACACGTGTGCAGGCCGCCCATCCGACCCCGACACACGCTAACGAGCCATCTTTAATTGCTTCTGATGACCTCTTGACAAATAAACATATATTAGAAGCGCTATAACTTTTCAGGCCGGCCTCAAATTCATAATAAGATTAAAACTCGGCTCCTGCACAAAACGCCTTTTTGCCCGAAGTGATCCCGGTCTCTACCCAGCCTGAGGCGAGTCACGAGTGAGGCAGGACAGGAAGCCGGATTCACGAGTCACAGGAAGTCGGAAGTGATGTCATGCTGGACAAGAATCAGAGTCCGAATAACATTTTTTCATATTCGGACTCGAGTCCGAATAATCACTTCGTTTGTGTACACTCCCTTGTAACACCTTTATCGGTACTCAACAAATGACCTAATTGTGTTGCACATATGCCATATAACACTTTCTAAAACAAAATGTGACCGTTGAATCGCCATCTTCTTTTCTAACGTTTTCCCTTTACATTTTTACATTTCAGCCATGAAGCAGTTCAAGCCAACAGATGCAACAACAAATCCGTCACTGATCTTTGCTGCTGCCAACATGCCAGCTTATCAGAAACTTATTGATGAAGCAGTGTCATATGCAAAGAAACTTGGAGGGTAAGTTAGGATTACAACTATGCTTTAAGTGCAGAATTAGTGGCACTTTAAAAAGCAGCTGCTTCTTTTACCTCATTCTTCACGTGGTAAAGCCAGACATCATATTGTTCTTGGCACTATAAAAAATGGGTAAAGAACATGTTAAGTTTGTTTTGTTTCATACTGAATTTTATTTCTGGATTTTTGGTTTGTTATGGATCTTCTTGACATTATATTTTATAGATATTTCTTTTTTTAAAATTTTTTTTATTGTAGGCCTACCAGTGGGTAGTTTTTTTTTGGACTACTTACCAGCGACTTACCTGTGAGTTGTGTTTTTTGGGCTACTTTCCAGTTACCATTCCTGTACTCTTACCCAGTGTAAATACTGTATTCATCTGCAAACAGTTAATTTTTAATTAGTTCATGTCAAGTTTTCTTCCCCCGCCTTTTTTTGCTTTGGAAGCTCAAAGAAAACTGAACAAAATTTGAATCTTCAAATGTTTTGGCATTTTGTGTTTTACAGGTTATGGATTTTTTTTCTTCTCTTCTCTTGCTATCATTCTGATGTGTTTTATAATTATTACAGCAAGGAGCCTGAAGTTCTCAGCAATGCCATGGACAAAGTTTGTGTCAATTTCGGAGCAGAAATCCTCAAAATTATCCCCGGACGTGTCTCCACAGAAGTCGATGCCAGGTATGTGTGTTGAAAGAGTTTCTGGTCATTTTTGTTACTGTTCTCAAGGCTGTAGCTAATGTATCTGGACTGTGACCAGTTCTGTCAACTGTTGCAGTGTGTCTTGACTGTGGTCAGTGTGTCTTCACTTTGGCTAGTGTGGTAGTTTTAATTATAGCAACTCGCTCACAAGTGGAGGAAAGGCACTGTTACAAGGGACATTACAGTGGCATATAGTTTTGTACAAGAAATAGTCACAAGTCACAAACCCTTTTAAACTAAAACTATTCCTGCATGATAGTACTTGCAATGTACATGGATCAAATTTCTTTTTTTTATAGTTTATTTTTTAGTTTGTAAAACTAATATTGTGTTGTGAGCACAAATCTTTGTAAAATTGTTTGGATTTTGGGAGAACAAGTGTCTAATTTTATAATTTGTAACTGCAATTTGATAAGTTTTTAAGGTGTATTACAGAACTGCACCTTACCATATGTCTGATTACTGTTTAGCATGCTTGGATAAAGAGTGTCTGTTTTTGTTTTTTTACGATAACATATTTTGAATTAAAAGAAGATAATTTAACATTTAGTTTTGTGTTGAATATGAATTCTTGTATAATGAATCTTGACTGTAAAAGATAATATTCTTGTTGTGTTTTACTTGGTAAATCTGAACATTTGAAGGCCATAGGGGTGCTGGGTATTATTTGAGAAGCTAAAAAATGTTATCTTCTAACAGGTAGGGATGTACCAAATTTAAAAGTAACTTAATGCCTTTTTGTGTTTGGTCTTGCTCTAGATTGTCGTTTGACACGGAGGCTATGGTTCAGAAGGCACAGACCTTGATCAAGCTCTACAAGGATGCTGGGATTGAGAAAGAAAGAATTCTCATCAAACTCGCTTCCACATGGGAAGGTGTGCAAGCTGCCAGGTAAGTCACTTGTTGATACTGTGCTCTCTGATCAGAGTAAAAAAATGAGTTTTTAATCGAGTAAAAAAGAAATTGGAGGGAAAGTAGTGTTTTGGCCATAGAGTTTGTGGAAATCTGATGCCATTCAAATATACTTTACTTAAAGTTTACAAATTAAAAGGAGTGAGATGAATATAGCTGTATAGATTGAACACCACTTTTAGAACTGTGTGGTTATTTAACCCTTTGAGCCCTTGCCACTGGAACACTGGTGGTGCGTAAAACTGCTGGTATGCCTAGCCACCGGTACAGCAGTGAGCGAGACCCTATCCCCAAAAAAGCCCGCCTGGGACAAAATGTGCGAGGAAACCATGCTTATTATACAAGACTTTACTGATTATTTTGAAGATCCAATTCAGATGCTAGTAATGATAGGGACTACAATGAGTGGGATGGAATGATTCGGATGATCACATGAATGTTAGTAATCTATCACTCAGGAGCTCAGGCAGAGGGGCACGATAGCATAAGAAGGTCATGGCTCAAAAGGTTAGGAGGCAGGGCCTCTGAATTCAATGTCCATCTCCAAGAGGACCGAGTGAAAGGGGCTGAGGGCCAAGAATACATTAAAGTTATAAATACTTCGTGATGTTCCCACCAGGTTATCTGCACCTCAGCCCAGTGATCCCCACTGAGCTGACAGTACACTGCACCTAAAAGTTGTAAAGAGTAATAGCAGTAAAGTAAGAAAGGGCGTAAGTTGGAAAGGTGTTGCAAGTGAAAATGTATATCATAATTTTAACACTCACAGCACTGGGCTATTTTTAGCCCTCACTTCCCCCTTGCCCAGCTAATATTGAAGTCCTTGATAATTGTACCTGTAAATATTTGCAGATGATAAAAAAAATTCTAGACTGCTTTTGTTTGAAGTTTTAGAAGATGACACGAAGAATATTTATCAAATTGTCTCTGAAAAGTTAAAAATACCTGACTGGATTTGAGATGGCCAGTGCCCTGTGAGGGAAATACACACGACTGGGGCTTTAAAGATTAAGAAGCCCATGATATATTAAATTTATCAGATACACTCTTATTTCATGGATAATATACTGTGTTTTGAATTCCAATGGAGAGAAGTGTTTTCTGATCTTAACTAATATACCAAAGGTGTTGGATAAATTGTATGTTTTCTTTTTTGTTGGTAAATTATTAAAACATTTGAATAAAAGAAGACTTATTTACTAATATTTTATAGCATCTACAAATTGGAAAAAACTGCTGTTTCCATGGTGGAAAAGTAGTTTTGTAAACTCACATTTATCTATCAATTTGTCTTGGAGAGAATTTCAATTTCCCTTTGACTTGTCTTCCTCAGGATTTTGGAATCTCAGTTTGGGATTCATTGCAACATGACACTCATATTTAATTTCTATCAGGTAAGCCAACTCAAGTTGTTCTGCATAATCATTTTACGAAATCTTGATAATGTCATTTCTGTTTTGGTTTTTGGTTTTTACAAGGAGAAAAATTGATATTTTATCCTGAATTCAAGGAATTTTCCTCTTAAAATTTTGCTGCTTAAAGTAGTAGGATAAGGGGGGTGATTTTTTAAATTGTCTTGTGGTTCTATATGAAAGGGAAGAAGGGGGAGGGTGTAATAGTCCATAGTAGTGCTTTGATTAAATATGATATGTAGCTCTACATTCTTTGTAATATTCAGTGTCGCAAGATTATATAACAGAATAGCAATAAGACTTCACATTGTAACTTTGTATAGTGCTTGATACACATAAAGATTTATTGTGCTGTCCCTTAAGGATAATGTCTTTGTTGTAATATATTTGTCACAATGCAGAGGAATCAGGCATTCGTCATTTTTTTTAGGTGTGTGGAGTATTGGTAACACCCTAAATGTTGTTGATTTGTCTTGCTTTTGATGAAAAAAAAACATCCTTTGATCTTGAATAGAAGTCGAGATGTTTGCAATTGGAGGTAGGGGTCGCCTGGTTTCAGAGGTAAAATTACTGAGAAAATGGGCGTCAAAGTTTGGTGACTTCCTTTGCTTGAGAGTGTTTGGAAACTGAAAATTAAGTTTTTTTGCCTGTGATCGTTTTTCAGTAAAAATCCACACAGAATTGTGTTTTTAAATAAACATAAAAGCTGTTGAGCCAAAAAACAAAGATTTGATAAAAATTGCCAAATGGGCGGAAAAATATGGGTTTCTTTCATTTCATTATTTTGACGAGCGCCTGATTTCACCACGATGTGGCACATATATTTTTGAAAAAACACGAGGAGGGGAGTCGGAAGTCGTCATTTGCACAGATGTTGTCTTTGACAGGTCATCATTAGATCTGGTTCAATTGTAGTACCTTTTCCTTTATGGAATATCTAGTTTTACTATATATTCTTACCATATGATATGCTGAGACTTTGACATTTTTTTCCTCTTGCGTCCTTCATAATTTCATAGTCTTTTTTTGTGGTCCTCGTAGGCCACATTTTCGTCTTTTGATTGACAGATTGTCTTGGAATAAATGTTGCAGACTTGTGAGATTTACTTTTGTGTAAGTTCAGTGACAGATTGGTTTAAATTTCTTTCAGGCTGTTGCCTGTGCTGAAGCTGGTGCTACTCTCATCTCACCTTTTGTTGGGAGAATTCTGGACTGGTTCGTGGCAAATACTGACAAGAAGTCCTTTGAGTCCCTTGAAGACCCAGGTACAGAGTTTGGTCATTTGGTTATGATGTGCCTATGTGTTCCTTTTTAAGAATGAGGCTTCTTTGTACGACATACAAATAGCAGGAATGCCATATTTGTTGTTTTGTTCGAATTATTCCCTTTATTTTTACTAGAACAACAGTTTTCATTCTCAATACTTTTTTTTCTGTTTTAACCGCGTATTAATTGTGTCCTTTTATTTTGTCTGTTTCATTGTTTGCAAATGCAACTTCGTAAATTTTCAGTTTTCTTAAAAACTATGGTGCCTCCCTGACTTACTTTACTTTACCGATTCAACGGCCATTTGAGTTCTTGCCCTTCAGCCTCTGCATCCCTGACATAACCAGAATAACCATTTCCTCCTGTCGAGAATCATGAAAGTTATATCATTTATCATGTTGTACTTCGATACATTTTAAGCTCTTTTCAAGAAATGCAGCCTTTGAAAAAAACTATTAAATGCTTTTTAGATAATCAACCATGTCAGAGAGTGAAAATAAAAGAGCAAAAAAGAAAAGTGTAGCACAGACATAGTGAGAAGTAAGCACCTAGCGAAGTATGCCCATGCATAGGGAACAGATTTTAAAGTCCCAAATTTTTGTCATATCTTTGTATCAAAACACATACAGCAAAATTGGTAATATAAGAAAAAGATTTCCAAGTTCTGCCAGTTTCTAGACTGTCTTATCCTAATTGATTTAAATTATGTTAATATAACTCTGGCTAGCGTTGAAGCTGTAATGTTTCAGAGTTGCCGATATCCAGATAAATTAGGAAATCCAGATTTGAAATTGTCTGGTTTTTTAAAAAGTCATATGATGTGAGAATTTTGAGTCCCCCTTCTCCCATTCCCACTGGGCAGGAAAAGTTCAGGGTTTTTTTCTGGCATCCGGTAGGCACCTCTAAGGTCAGTGTGTATAAGAAATTTTATTGTGGCAGAATTCATGTAGAATTTAGATCATTGACCTTCAGTGTCATTGAAAAAATGTTATGAAATACATGTTATGAGACTCTTTTGAAACTGTTTGTTCACTTTTAATAATTGTTTCTTACAGGAGTCAAAAGTGTGACGAAAATTTACAACTACTACAAAAAGTTTGGTATCAAGACAGTTGTTATGGGAGCATCTTTCAGAAACACTGGCGAAATTCTGGGCCTGGCTGGATGTGACCTTTTGACCATTTCGTAAGTTTGTGGTTTGAAGGCTGATGATTGAGTATTTCCTTGAACTATGTCGTCTTGACAGTTTCATGAAAATATTACGATTGTACAGGATGTTCTACTCCGGTACCAGCATGATTTGGACCATTTAGGGTGGGCGATTTGACTCTGCCTTTTGGGGCCTATGTGACCTTGTTGGATACATCCCTAAAGGTGATTGGTTGGTGGGTGTTATGGTGTGGTTTGCTCCTTTTTTTCCTATCAAACGTCTATCGCCTTACTCTGTATTAGGATTTACCACCTACTCCCTGAAAAACAAACAAACAAGCACAAATAAGGGACCTCAAAAACAACCCAAAAAAAAAAAAGAATTTCAATTTTCCTGCTGATACAGATAATAGTGGTAAAGGTTCATGCTTTTAGCCGTGCCTCTTTAGGATCTATTCATAAAAGCTCCTGTGTCTCTCGACTACTGGATGTGCATGACCATATGCTGAGGTGTGTGTTTTATGCTCAGACAGGTGAAGGCAGTCATGCTTAAAACATGTGTTTGGGCTTGAGGGGGTCCTTCTGATTAATATTTTATTTTGTTACATTTTGTGCTTTTTTTTTTTCAACCCGGCAGGCCAAGCCTTTTGGACAAGCTGGCACAGTCTACTGAAGAGATCAAACCACACCTGAATGCAGATACTGGTGAGTTATGAGGAGTTTTTTTTTACTTCAATCCATTGAAACTGTGAGACTGGTATAGCGGTTGCAGGCTTGTTCTGCACTCTGCCAAAAGAACGGTACAGCAATCATGATTATGCATCGCAGAAAATACCCCAAGATGTGGGATGTTAATTATGATGGTCTTTGGGCGGGAAGCTTGTTGTATCGAAGAAGAGTTCATCCAAAGCATTGAAGATTGAATTTGTGTTGTTTTTGTTTAATCCCCATTTGATGTTCTCTCTTTATTTTATGCATTGCAACTTCTTTTAGTAGCAAGATTTGATAGCACAAAGAAATTCTCAGGTCCTATGAAGTTCATGTTATTAGTTTTTCTGTAGTTTACAGGGCTTTGTGGATTAGCTGTGGGTTGGTATCTGTACTTGCCGTGTTTTATAAGGGCTGTAGCTTCAGGTTACTTTACTTAAGTGTAAGAATTGCAGATGGTTGGAGAACACCACTGGTAGGTCCCTTGTGGTTCTAAAATCTTGTTTTTACTTTTATGTTATTTCTGTGTGTCTATCTTGCTTTTTTTTCCAGCTAATTATCGTGTATATACCAGAAACTAAATTTTCTAAGTAGCTGTATGCCAAATTTATCTGTTCCATTTGAAAGGCCTATATGCACTGAGCATTTTGGTACCATTTTTTAACCTCTCAATCAATTTTTAAGAAAATGGTATTTGTTTAAAATTTGATCGAATTTGTTAAAAGTCAGTCACTGGCTGCAACCCCATGTTTAACAGATAATAAAAGTGTACCAAATGCACTAAACATCTCCACATTAACAGTACAATCACTATAACAAATATATGGAGCCTAGTTTTTTTCAAGACCGAGACCATTACAAATCAGTATTTTATCGCGTCAAACACGATGATCTGTCGTTATTTCAACAAGTCAGCTCTATACTGTAGTGTACCCCGCGTGGGGGGGTCACATGCTTTCCGAGTCTCGCGGAAGGATTGATGCAAAATAATTCCAAGCTGATTACTTTATTCTAATAGAAAATAAATTGATTTTTAATTGATACCTTTTATAAGTCGGTATTTTACATATTTAGTGTAAAAATGATCTTTAAAAGTTTTGACGGTATTTTTCAAGGCTTTCTATTTAAACGCCAAAGGCCAAAAATGTGCCACGGGAAAGCCCGTTTAAAGTTCTACAGTTCTCCGACAATGAAAAGACGGTATTTAATCATCCCTCGTTCCGCGAAGCATTTGAATGCACACGTGTCAACTTTTGAACCGGCCGACCTCGAGGGGCTTCGCTTTCCTCAGCGATTCTCCAGCTCCTAATAATTGGACATTTAAACAACTTACACCATTGTAACGAGGAAAGGCTGAACTTTTACAAGATGTACGGCATTTGGTGTTTTTTAGGGAAAGAGCAAAGAAACAGCGATCGGAATTACCCCGATTTCACCGATACCGGGCCAGGCGGTCGGAAGGCCGCAAGTGCCAGCGAGGCCGTGTTTATGCTACCTATATCATGTCAGTGTGCTTCTTTTTCCTTGAAAAATAAACTGGTCATGATGCTCATATTTGTTCTGTTTTGTCCTCAGCCAAAGCTTCTGACATCGGCAAAGTGAATGTGACAGAGCAAGTCTTCCGTTGGCAGATGAATGAAGATCAGATGGCCACAGACAAACTGAGCGAGGGGATTCGTAAATTTGCTGCTGATGCTATCAAACTGGAGAATGTTCTCAGGCAAAGAATGGCTCAGTAGAGTGGGAGAAGGGGAGCCCACATCCCTGGCCTTTCTCTACACTTACATTAGTTTTTTTAATGCCATGCTATGTTGTTGTTAATGAACACTGGAAAAGTTTCTGGAAACGGAAGTAAGAAATAATAGCAAACTAGAATTGAGACTAATGTTTTGCTGTCTATGGCTGTTTATTTTGGATGTTGAAATGTATGAAAGAAAGCTATTCAAACGGATACTTGGTACTTGATGTGTGGCTGAGGGAAAGTTGTTCAAACTGAGGGAAAGATGGGGTTTATTTTGAACACGCTTATCTACTCTTTAGATATATGTAGTGTTCATTTGTTGTCTTAATGCTGATCAATAAATATAAAGTTCCTGCAGCTTTGCCTTTTTTATTTGTCAGTTTTTGTAGTGAAGGATTTATAAGACATATGGATCCTGTTCTGTTATTTTGATTTTAAATTAGTTCTTCTTCATTCAAAGTCAAAGTAAAAGAAAAAGCTATGTAGTGAAGAAGAAAACTACACTTTCATGCCTGTGGATGTTGTGGAACATAACTGTTTCGGGTTAGATCTACTAGTTAGCCTGCTTCAGACAATGCCAAAAGCTTTCAGAAAACAGGTTGTCCCATGCATTCCCACAGTGTTGGCCTTTGATTTATTGTAAAAAAAAAAATAATTAAATAAAAGGCATATGTACCCAGCCAGAATATTGGATTGTCATTTGTTTTCTCACTTTCAAAAAGAAAGGTTTTTCCGTTTACTTATCCTTTGAGTAGATGTGGAATTATATTTTGCATTTACTTGTTACTTTTCTTTGAAGGCTTGTTTTTGTGACAGATCTGATTTATGAAAGATCTATGCCTTATCTGTCCCCGCGGTTTTATGCAAAAAAAATTCTGAAATTTTGCAAACTGAGCCCAAAAATGTGAAATTATGCCATCCTGTTAATTTCAACAAAGAAAGATAAAGGAAAATAATCTGAAATTATGCAAAAAGTGATCAAATTTTGCTAAATTATGCGGGGTGCATAAAACCACGGGGACAGCCTTATGGATTGAAGAAATTGGAACATTTGAAAGAATTTTACTTTTCCCAGGCTGAGCAGTTAAATCGGTACTATATAACTCGATCTGCTACAGTTGCCTCATATTAGAGGTGTTGTCTACTCCTACAATTTGCAACCTCGGTTTTGTTATCATGAAAAAGAGGCAGTTTTTCTCTCTTAATTTTGTCATAGTTTGGAAACACGTAATGAGTGAGCATTGGAAATTCTCAGGATTGGACCCAACAGGCAGAGTTGAGGCAGCCTGCCTTTTTAATTGATCTAAAATGTGAATGGGGGCATAAAATGATTATAATCACTAAATCATAGGCATGATCTGTGATGAACTTTTGCACGCAGTAGACTCGTTAGATACCCGAGTTGAAAGAAAAATTTTATAGAGTATCTCGGTCATTCAGTTGAGATGTATCCCTTTCACTCTCAGCCTGAGTTGACTCTGACAGGCAGGATAGTTGAAAGCTCACCTCTTAATCGATCTAAATTGTGTTAATGGGTCGATGGTGGTGTAAAAACACCGTTAAAAAAACAAAACAAAAAAACAATCACTATTATTACTACTTTGTTGTCAGAATCCTTCAAACGATCATTTCTCTTTACATTTTATGTGCATTTTCAATTATGAAAATCTCATGAGTTGGAAAGAAATACATCAGTTGGTTATTGGATATGCTATTTGATTAACAAAGTAGTATTAGCTCCTTGCGTGTAGCACAAACTTTGTATATAATTTCCAGTTCATAATCAGAATTTCATCACTTGCTCATCTGTTTTCTTTAGCTCAAGTGCTGGAGTTTTGAAAACTGAAATGTACACACCCCTGCCTTAACTACAGCATTTACCTTCCTGAGTGTGTTGGGATTTTACAGCTGTGTATCCTGTAATTGTAATAAGCTGCCATTGTTTAAATTCTTTTAATCTATGGAATTTGACATCACCAACTAATTCTTTGTTGAAGAATCATCTCATGAAAGTCCATTTATACACATCTATTGTGCTTTCATCTGAATTTATTATTCCTATCCTTGGGTATTATGACAAGGTATTCCATGGTCTCATATCGTGTGTTGCTATGTTTGTGATATAACTGCTTTTGGCTTATTTACATGATTATCTTTCTGCGAAGAAAAATATGCAGCATTTGGATTTTCACCCTGTTCTCTAGTGTTTTTAATAAAGAATAAATGACTACTATTATATAATATGTCCTGGTGTTTTTTTATATAAAAGAAAAATTTAAGGGGTTGTTAGGACTGGTATTCTACTTTTGTTAATTGAACACTTTAAATTTATTGTTTTTCACATTGAAACTTGTTCAAGGTCAAAGGACAAAACAGCTTGGGGGTTTCATAATTGTGAAACAAAACTTGCAACGTGCAGGGGGGGGGGGGGGTGGAGAGAATCAGAATCTGTAGGGTCATGTTATGACTTGGATTCAACGAGGTCGCCAGGCCTGACCTAAAATCTCGTTGAATCCGAGTGATCGTTATAGCAAACTTGAGGTTTTGTGTAGATAATTACAGACACTAAGCAAGTAATGTATAAAGAGAAGTCACAAGTAGTGCCTGAAATGCCTGCATGTGATGAGCTGTGTAAAAAAAAGACCCGATTCGTTCAAATGTCCGCCTGTGTCATCTCGATTGTTTACCAAAAAGTTATGTTGCTGTGTAGAGCCTAGCACACGGCAACTTTTGATTCCATAGACCAGTGCTCAATTCGTTATGTAGATCTACGTCAAGTTCAGTCAAGACTAACTTAACATGGTAATAGCGATCAGTTGCCGAGGGGGAAAAAAAGACTGACACATTTGTACCTGCGACGTTCAACGCCCAGATCGCAAGTGCCCCCCCCCCCAACATACATACACAGCCACACGTGTGCAGGCTGCCCATCCGACCCCGACACATGCCAGAGTAGACACGTGTGCGTGTCAACAACGCATGTGTTGGTACATGTATGAAAAAAGGCTGCTGATTGGTCGCATGCAATCGGCTAAGTGAATAATGGTTCACGATCCAGGTGCAATGGATGGTTTCAAGGAATAGATAAAGTTCGTTCAGGGAGAAAAATGAGCAGAGCCACGTCTGTGGGGGCTGTTCACCCTGGAAGCGACCTTGTTGAATCCGAGCTCGCTGATTTAAATGCTTGTTGAATCCGGTTTATTTTTATTGATTTTAAAGAAGAAAAAAAACGGGGAATCTATCTCATCTCATTCAATCCGAGTTCCACTGTATGTGCAATTAAGACGGCACGTCCATTTAGTTTTAGTAAGAGTTTTATGGCACTTGCAACACTATAAGGTCATATAAGTGCCGAAGATTAGATGTGTTTCAAGAGAGTACAATGTAACAAATATAAAAAAAGGAGGAGAGATCAGGATGATGGGCGTTTGATAGGAAAGGAGGAGCAAACCACACCAGAGCACTCACCAATCACTCACAATACTCAAAACGGCATGTCCTTTGTCAAATAATAAAAGAGGGGGGGGGGGGTAAGACACATGAACAGTCTGGTCTCTGAGTTCTGTCCAGATTTGGAAAAGTCCGGGGACTTTGAGGCCAGTCTACAGTTAGCAGACCTTCCATAGGAAGGCACACGGCACACAACGCATCTCATGCGTGAAAACAGAAGTGGGCACAAAGATTTAGAGTACCACCTTACAAAGGACGACATGACAGCACAGAGGTAACGAACATGCGTTGAAAAGTCAACTTCACTTTTTCATTTTGTGAGGTGTGTGACAGAACATGTATACTGGAGAAGGACGACTACGACTAGAAGAAGAAACTTATTGAGCGTGTGAGAGCCCGGCCAATTATTTGGGACCCCCAAAATCCAAACTACCATAACAAAGAGCACAGAAAACAAGTTTGAGTTATAGATACTGATTCTTCTGCAGAAATTGGATCCTGCCAATTGTAACCAACGGGTTGTAGATGCGGAAGCACTAGTCTCTTGAGTTCCTCGTAAGTTTGTGTTTGACATTCTTAGACAGTTGAAGAACAATTTGTCATCTTTACGTGTAATCAATAACCAGAAATTTCTTTAAAACTCTCCTCACGCTCCTCAAAAGAAAAAGTAAAAGTTCACGATGCCACTTGTGCTTTTTTCCCCTTCTTTTTAAAATTTATTATCAATGCTAGCACAATCAAGTATCTTCTTGAGAGGAATCAGTGACGACGAAAGGAAGTGTGACTGCCTATGCCGTTCCGACTTGTCACATGTCATGTCTCCTATGTGAGGGGGGTCAAGCCTGTCGCTCATCGCCTGCTGACATGTCGTGAGACATGTGCCATGTGCTTTCTTGCGGAAGGTCGGCCTTATTGGAGGGAGACGAAAGGGTTTTGAAGGTGGGTATTACAGGTCAAAGAGGAAAAAATTTTTTCAGGTGGGTGTCACAGGATATTTGGTCATTTTTAATTTTAAGGAGAAGCGGGCTAACCCAGATTTCGGGGGTTTCCAGAATTTTATCTTGACCTACACTAAAAGTGGGCATTGCCCTACATATAAAAGAGAAGTTCGGTTTCATTGGTGTGTATACACAATGTATTTGTTTGGTTGTAGAGAAAACTCTCCTTGTCTTTTACTAAAGAAACTGAACAAGGGGCAAACACTTTAAACTTTACCTTCGATTTTCTCAATACAGCATTTTTCAGGATAGCCCCCTTGTGCTTAAAAGCGACTATTTCTCCTCTGATGATTTTACTTGGTGGGGATGAAATAACCAGATTGTAATACAAACATTGTTTCAAGCGCTGTCAGCCAAATTTTTCACTTCTAAGTCACCTGAGAGCCGGTGGCAAAATTGCAATGAAATCTATGGGAAAAACTAACAGGACCATTTAGCGGGTCTAGAGGAAACGATTCAACGTGACATGTTGCCTGAAATGGACAAAAAGGGACACAACTTGTGTTAAAACTTCAGAGCCGTAGCTTTAAAAATGAGAAAGTTTTTTTTCCTTCTCCAGTAAAATCTGCAAAATTTCAGAATAGTTTTCCTCTAGACTCGCGATTTGGTCCATACATTTCTCAACCATAGCCCAAACAAGCCGAAAAAGAAAGGAAACATTATAGCTTAAGCAATGTTTTCACCCATGGAGTGCTGATGGCTTTGATAATGAAAACATTTCTGAAGCCTGTAATTTGTAATTTAATTTGAAAGATTTGCACCATCTCACATGGCCTGTTGGTACATTGATTTCTTCCAATGACAAAGGTTAAAGCTTCCTGTTCTTCCTAACGTCCACTTTAGAAGATCTTCAGGAGTTGAAAATCATTGTTAAGACATGGATCCACATCAATATTCACTGGCATCAGTGGCGTAATCATTAGAAATTTCACTGTCACTCACAGGAATATCGAGTTCGATTCGTAAGTGGGGAGCATTTTTATCAAGTTTCTTGAAATTTCTGCTGGGATGTTGTATCTTTCTCAGCGGCACTCAGCCAGGTTGGGCCCTGACAGGCAGGGTTTAAGCCTATCTCCTAAAAATGATAAAAATGGTCTAAAGTGTGTCAATGTGGGGCATAAAAACACCTACTTGAAAAAAAAAATCTCTCTTCCAAACAGGAAATTGTGTCTAGTGGGGAATGCAAATACCTATTTTAAAAAAAAATCATTATTCCAAATGGGAACTATGAGAAGAGTTATTACTATTACTGTTACATTAGGGATGACCCACTCTTCAGACACAACTTTGACTTTGAAGAGATATCGAGTGAGGTGCTTTTCTATAACTCTATAATCAGTCCACACTAGATAATAGATTATAATTCTGTATTTAAAAAATCATTAAATGGAACAAGCACAAAACGGAAAAAACAAACAAAGGACAACTACAGCAGGTATTATATATATATATGCATGTATTCAAAGTAATCAAAGAACTGTTGATTTAAAAAAAAAAAAATACAACTGTCCTCCTCTTTTGAAAGGATGACTCCACTCAAAGGTAGTACAATCCACAGAAATAACATCAAATTCAAATACATAGATCCATTGCAGTCAGTCAGGTTAGTAATGCTAATTTGGTTTAGGGAACAGTACAAAAATCAGTGTTACTGTTACTAGCCATAATGATACATCAAGAAAGTAAACTAGTTATCCCAAGACAAGGCCATGGAAAAAATATGTTATAAATACCACGTAGATCTATATATATTATAATGCTTGAGGGTTTTGACCCATTAAACGAGGAGCATGTTAAATATTATTAATATTAACATGAAAAGTTATAAAATACTAGACTTTGGTATATTATAAGTCATGAACAAATTACGAGTCCAACATGCAAAACATACTAAACAGGGGTACTTTTATGTATATCCACTTCAACACATTATGGATTACAGTAAATTACAGAGACTATTTCAGCCACAGGGCAGCACATTACCCCTCCCCTCCCCCCTTCTCTCTATTAGTATTACAGACAAAGTTATAGGACAACCACAAAGTCAAATATTCACTGCAATTTTCCTCCTCATCCCTTGACAGAGTGTACATGTGGCAGAGGTCATATGTCAAAGGTCATAGGTATAGAATAAGAAAAAAGTTTACTCAATGACCAAGACACAAATACTGAGCTCTCCAAATTGAGCAAAATTAAAAAGTTTTTGTTCTGAGACAGCTGACCGGTTCAGAAAGTCACTGTCACACAAGTTCCTCAATGCAATATTCTTTATCAAGATCTACTTGAAGAGTTGCCAGGCCTGATATATACAGACAGAAACATTTAAAGATTGAGGGAAAGAAAAAAAGTAGGATCTTTCAGTGGTGCTCTCCATCCATCCGATTCCAGGAACTGAGAGATCAGAATGGCGATAAACTAGAACTCTAAAAAATAATCCTTCACACTGAAGCAAGCCACATACAAAGAAAGTATGAAAATACACAATGTAGTAATAATAATAACAATAAATAGCATTTGCACAACAGCAAGCTCTATGCGCTTTACACACTATATTATCTTATTACCCAAGCAGACCATAGAACACTCAGAAACATTCTCAGCTTCCTGGGGAACATATAGTGCAAGCAGCTGATAAAGTGTTTAAACAGTAACAAAAACATTCATTGTCTATAGCTGAGTACCCATTCCCACCTGGGTGAAGTGAGGAAAATTTGTGTAAAGTAAAGTGCCTTTCCCAAGGATACAACATTGGGCTCCTGATCAAATTCGAATCCATGACCCTACCGTT